TAATTGTTCGATACAGCCGTTTACAGATTGCTGTTATTTTTGGCTGGTCTGTGAGAAAAGGGGTGGATATAATTGTTTGATACAGCCGCCTGCAAATTGCTGTTACTTTTAACTGGCATATAAGCTCCAGGGCTCAAACCAAGAGATCCGCCCAAGCGCTTATATTTTTGGCTACTAGCAATAGGCCGCCGGCCAGACAGCTCTTGCACACCCGGAGCCTAGGCTCACTGCACAGGGTAGAGTGTCTGGTCTGAGCAGCCCAAAGAGGGATGCTGAACATAGACATCGCACAGAGTTGCCTATTATACAGGCTTCTCTGGAAGGTACGTTGACCTGCATAAGGGTTACCTGCCCCAGTCCCCCTTTCCCAGAAAAACGGCAGAGGACAGGTCGGGAGTACTTCGGGTCAAGCTAACAGCCTGATGATGACTCCCGTACACAGTCTTAATGTTTGATTTTGGGAAGGTCAACCCCTGCCTCTATCCCTCAACATATGGGTGACCTATTTGCTTGTAATAATATAAAGCCTTTTCATTAATTAATAAAAAAAGGGTGATATGTAGGAAGCCAGTTCCTACATTATAATGTTGCCTGAAGACACCAAGGTGTAAATTACTTCACAGGCGCTGGGTAATCTCCATTCCTTTGATCTCTGCCTATCCCGTGGCTCATTTTGGCCTGAGGAGCTAAAGCCATTCATAGGATAACACGTCCCAGGCGGCTGGTCAGCCTTTTATAAGGGATGGTTTTCTTAGTTTACTGTCTCTGCTCAGTCTCTGTTCAGTCTCCACTCTGGTAAAATGCATTAAAGCTTGTCTACAGAAGGATCCGAGTGTCCTGCGTGTATTTCTTGCTGGCGAGGAATACAGAGCGGGCTCGGGACATATTTCTTCCTCCTTGCCTTTCTTGTTTTTTTAATAACAAAATGAGTATCTAGTCCTTGTAACAAAAATGCTAACTGAATTAAAACACACAAATATGGCACAAGAATATCCTTTATAGAGTTCATCCATATCTAATTCCTCTCCGACTTACCTAGATTTACTTTTTTGTCTTACTACTCACCCTGTTTCAACACATAAGACTTCAAATTTACCAGAAAATACATTTCATGGCTTTAATAATGACACTTTTCTGAGAGGCAGAGGCCAAAGTATTTCTGTGATTTTGAGGCCAGTCTGGTATACATAATTAGTTCTAGGTCAATCAGGGATACATTGTGAGACCATATCTTTAAAACAAAGGATTAAATAGTAGAACTAAAAAGAAGCAATACTTATTATATGACTGAAATGTATACTACCTGATGTTCATACCTAAGAATGTACAATATAGTCTTTTTGTTCATTCTAATCTATTGAATTTACAATCAGCAAGGGGTTAAGAATCTTGGAATGGTGACCTTTGCAGTTAAGGAACAAGGGACTTTTACCATTATAGGTTGCACTATTTTTCACAATTAGTTCCAAATGCTCTCTGAATTCTTCCCGAGATGGATAGAGGCGTTTGCGAACATTTTCACGGAGTGTCTGTAGATCCATTGGACGAGTGATGATTTTGTAGTAGTCCTTTACAACCTTTGCATTAACTGGAGTATGGAAAGGGTATGTCTGTAGAAACAAGAGCCAGCACCATTTGTGAGCAAAGAACTTGACAGAGCCAATTACATCTTATTGGTTTAACAACTCTCTCTGTTTCTTTCTTTTTTTTTCTTTTGGTTTTTCAAGACAGGGTTTCTCTGTGTAGCTTTGGAGCCTATCCTGGCTCTTACTCTGGAGACCAAACTGGCCTCGAACTCACAGACATCTGCCTGCCTCTGCCTCCCGAGTGCTGGGATTAAAGGCCTGTGCCACCACCGCACTGAATTCTTTGGAGCTAGAGTTACAGGTGGCTGTGAGCCACCCAACATGACTGCTGGGAACCAAACATATTCCTCTGTAAGAGCTGTATGTATTCTTAACCATTGAGCTGTCTCTTTCTAGCTCCATATATGCTAGACACATATGGAATGCAAAAATGGTTCCTGTAAGACATACAAGTTTGAGGTTGGAGAGATGTCTCAGTGGTTACAAGAGCACATCATGCTCTTCCAGAGTACCTAAGTTCTATTCCCAGCTCCCATGTCTGGGGACTCACAACCTCCTGAAACTTTGGTTCCAGGAGATCCAATGCCTCTGGCCTCTAAGGGAACTTGCATTATGTATACACAGACACATACATATATACATAATTTAAAAAATGATCCTTGCTACTTCAATACTCAGAAAATTGAATTCACATACCTATTACAAAAAATGAAAATTAAATTGAAACTAGAAAAAAATAGTTTTATATCCTGTTATAACTCATGTGTCCTTTGGCCTACATTCTGTCCTTCATCACCTAATATTCTATCAAACAATTTAAAAATAGACAAAACCCCAAAGAATTAGGAGTTCCCGATACACAGGTATACACACTACTGTCATCTAGCTGAAGTATCAGAAAAACAAAGGTCTTGGTTTTCCTATTCTATACATCTAATGTAATGAACTCACATTTGGAAGATCTCTCATATCATTGATGATAGACTCCAAGATAGATGACAGGGTCACCATAGGGTCTGTCCGGCGCCGATGGATAGATTTGTGAGGTCTCTAAAACAACACAAAATAAAACAAAAACAAGAAATCAAAATTCTTTAGATAAAAAATTCTGATATATTTTCCAAATATACTGATACATTTTAGAAATCTTCAATAAAGCCAGACTTGGAGAGCTTAAGCCTATAATCCCAGCAACTGGGAGGCTAAGGTAGGAGGCTTGATGCAAGTTCAAGGCCAGAATAGAATACATAGTAAGTTCCACACCATCCTGGGTTAGAGGGAAACCCAGTCTTAAAGGAATGTTTGAAGAGGGAATCTGAAGAGATGGTTCAGTGGTTAAGAACCCTTGCTGCTTTTGCAGGACCTGGGTTCAGATCTCAGCACCCACATAGTGATTTACAACCAAAACCACAGTACACTTGCTTCTGGGCTCTGCTGGCACCAGGCATACACATAGTGCACTTATAAACATACAGGTAATATACTTATGCAACATCAAAAAGAGGAGCTGGGCTCAGTGGCACTTGCAATACAAGACAGTGACTATAATTTGATCTCCAGACTCCATGTAAAGGAAGGAGAGAGAACTAACTCCACCTGTCCTGACTTCCATGTGTGCATCATGGCACATGCACAGATGAATACACACATGCAATATAAACAAAAACCAAATAAATACATAAAATTTAAAGCCAGATAAAGGCACATGCTTTTATCCCAGCACTCAGGAGGCAGAGGCAGGCAGATCTCTGAGTTCAAGACCAGCCTGCTCTACAGAGTGAGTTACAAGAAAGCCCCAGGGCTACAGAGAGAAACCCTGTCTCAAAAATGCAAAAATTAAAATAAATAAATTTTAATAAGTCATATAATGAACAGTATACGTAAGTCTCAAGGAACAGACATAAGGAACATCTGACACACTTACAGAGCCATGTCATAGAAGGCTGCAGGAATCAATGAGAACCCATCTGATATGAAGACAATGTGGATACTTACATTTGCCCCCACCCCGCCGTTTTTTCTTGGGAGGAAGTTGTTGTTTTGGAAACTTCAGGACCAGAGATTTTCTGCGAACTTCATCTGCACTGCAATCAGTAACATTGCCGTAGTGTGTTATTTATAGTTCCCAGAGATGGGGTGAAGAGATGTCTTAGTGGTTAAGAGTACTTGCTACACTTACAGAGAGGACCCTGGTTCAGCTTCTAGCACCTACAGGGTAGTAGCTCACAACTAAACAGTAACTTTATATCTAGAGGATCTGATATCCCCTTCTGACCTCTGTGGGTACCAGGCATACACACTGGTGTACTTACATACATGCAGGCAAAACACTCATAAACATAAAACAAATCATATAACACAAAACAGATTTTTATAGTTCCCAGAAATAAAACAACTACAATGAAAAGGTCCAAAGTAACTAAGTATGAGCACAGGGTGAGAAAAGTCAAAGGCCAAACAGTCACCTTCTAAGCCTCAGAGTAAGCAGGACATGAGGACCTCCAAATTAGTAAAGAACTAATCAAATCAAAATTTTGTCTCAGTTTTCTGTTCTGAAAATGAGGGAACTAGGCTAAAGGCATTTTAAGACTCTTCCCAGTTCTAACATTTTATCTTGGGATTCAAAAGCTAGAACATTTGACTCATTCAGAATATAAATGAGTGTGGACATGATGGCACACTGGGGAGGCAGAGGTAGGCAGATCTCTGTGAGTTTAAGGCCAGCTTGATCTACAAAGAAGTTCCAAGCCAGTCAGGACTACACAGTGAGACCTTGTTCAAAACAAAACAAAAAACCAAAACATAAAGAAAAACAAAATATGAATGAAGAAGCCGGGTGTAGTAGCATATGTCTTTCATCCTAGGAAAGAAAAAAAAAAGAAAGGAAAGAAAGGGAGAGGGGAGAAAGGGAGGTAAAAAAACAAACAAAAGACAAAAAAGGAAAGAAATGAAAAGCCAGTGTAGGAAAAAATGGAGGGGAGGGGTTCCTGAAACGTTTTTATTTTTTGAAACAGGGTTTCTCGTGAAACAGTACTGGCTGTCCTGGAACTTGCTCTGTAGACCCAAATGGTCCTGAACTCACAGAGATTCACCTGCTTCTGCCTCCCAAGTGCTAGGATTAAAGGCGTGTGCCAACACTGCCCGGCAAGGGTTCCTGCAATTTTTAAAACCAATCCACCTTCTCCCCTTCCACTGTAAGGGATCAAGATGGCACATTTTCCCTTTCTAATGTACTTTTAATATATTATACATGGCATGGTGGTACATGCACTCAAGGGGCAGAGGAAGGTGGAGGTTAGCCTGGTTTACAAAGCAAGTTCCAGTACGGCCAGAGCTACAGAGAAAACCAGTGTCAAAAAAACAAAAAACAAAAAAGATGACTTACATATGTTGATAAATCAATAAGGATAGAAGAATGTACATTGAATTGAATGCAAAAAAGCAACCGTAATTGTACCAAACTGATGTTTACAATTATATACAGAAAGATGGAATCTAGGGCTTTGCACATACGCAACAATCTACAAATGAGCTATTACTATATTCCTATCCCTCTTTTCCTTAAAAAGAGACATTTCTATTCTTAAAAAATTTATTTATTATATAAAGTGTTCTGTATGCATGTATCCCTGACGGCCAGAAGAGGGCACCATATCTCACTACAGATGGTTTTGAGCTATCATGTGGTTGCTAGGAATTGAACTTAGGACCTCTGGAAGAACAACTAGTGTTCTTAACTGAGCCATCTCTCTAGCCTCAACATTTCTATTTTGTGTGCATGAATGCTTTGCCTGCCTGTATGTATGTATGTATGTATGTATGTATGTATGTATGTATGTATGTATATGCACCATGTGTGTGCCTGGTGCCTGAGAGGCCAGAAGAAGGTACAGGATAACCTCTATAGAGGTGGGATTACAAATAATTGTGAGCTGCTATGTAGGTGCTGGTAACTGAATCCAGGTCTTGGCCAAGAGCATCAAGTGCTCTTAACCACTGAACCATCTTCTCCAGCCCTTATGTTGTTTTTGGATTGTGTGTTTTGAGACAGTCTTACAATGTAGCCCTGGGTATTCTGGAAGTGGCTATGTAGACCAGGCTGACTCTGAACTCCCAGAAAATGCTGGGGTAAAAGGAATACACCACTATGTCTGGTGTTTTTATTTTTGAGACAAGGTCTTACTAAGTTGCCCAGGCTGATCTGTTTTCTTAAGTTACCATAAAAAGTAATGGGTTTCATTACTGACATTTCATACACATGTCATTTTGCTTTGTTTTCACTCACTCCTTCCACACTAGCCACCCTCATTTCCTAAGACTCTTTCTTATCGTCCCCCTAAGTCTCCTCAAATAGTTCCCATTCAGCCTTCACGTTACATGTATTCCATTACTCTCTTTTTTCCTCCTCCTTCCCACTTCCCTCCAAGGCTAACCTTGAACTCACTTTGTAGCCCAGGCTGGTCTTCAACTTTCGCTCCTCCTGGCTCAGCTTCCCAGGTAGCTGGGATTACAGGCCTGCACCACTAGGAGCTCAAACGTTCTGAACATAATACCTCACTGTATAACTTCAGTGGCATAGTCAGACAACAAACTCCAAAACTCCTGAACCTATTTTATAGGGGTTTTTGTTAATAATGGTATAGTAATTCTAAAACTACTTTATACTTACAAGTCAAAGAAAAGGGACAAATATACTGATGTTGAAATCAGAAAAAAGATACGAATATGAAATGGAATGATATGTATGACGCAAATTAAAGTATTGGTATGAAGTTATAATTTAAAATACATGTATACTTACTAGTTCTATTCACTAAAAAGCCAAAATTCAAGGATGTCCCAGTGGCAACAACAAACACACCACCAATATCTTAGCTTTCCTTCCTTTTGTTTAAGAGTTACTTTTTTTTTTTTTTTTTTGGTTTTTCGAGACAGGGTTTCTCTGTGTAGCTTTGGAGCCTATCCTAGCACTCGCTCTGGAGACCAGGCTGGCCTCAAACTCAGAGGCCTGCCTCTGCCTCCTGGCTAAGAGTTACTTTTTTTTTTTAAATTTTAACTATACGTAGGAGGTATGTATGTCTGAATGTGGGTATGTGTATATGACTGCAGAAACATGCAGATGCCAGAAGCACTGAATCTCCTGGAGATGGAATTATAGATGGTTGTGAGCCACCTGGTTTAAGTACTAGGAACCAGACCTAGGTCCTCTGAAGAGAAGCAAGATGGCTAATAGCTAAGTCATCTCTCCAGCCCCATTTTTTGTTTATTTCTTATTTTTATTTTTGTTGAGACAGGGTTTTTTTCTGTGTAACAGCCCTGGCCATCCTGGAACTTCCTTTGTAGTCCAGGCTGGCCTCTGCCTCCTGAGTGCTGGGATTAAAGTCATGTGTCACCACCACATGGCCTGTTTTGTTATTTCGAGACAGAGTCTCATCATTCAGCCCAGGCTGTATTCACATCTGTAATCTTTTTGCCTCTGCCCCTTAAGTGCTAGGATTACAGGCATGCACTACAATGCCCAGCAAGATACTGGTTTCTAAATACCATTTGCTAATAAGAAAAGCCTGAATACCGCAAAGAAATGGTCAATTCTAAGTCTGAGACAAGGCATGTTGTTAATATCTTGTACTTTCATTTGCTTGAAAGCAAATGATTTCTCAAAGATTTATAGGATCATTTCAAAACCACAGTTCTGATGGGCCTGAAAGATGACTCAGCAGATAAAAGTGTTTATGGCTCTTTCAAACAATCTCAGTATAGTTCCCAGCACCTATAGGGAAGCTCTTGTAATGATCTATAATTCTAACTACAGGGGATCCAACTCTCAATTCTGGTCTCTGTGGATAACCGGCATTTGTGTGGTACACATACATGCATGCAGGCAAAATATTCATAAAATGAAATTAAGTATTCTTAAAATCACCACAGGATCTGGCTTAAAAGAGTCAAATTGGGATATAATGCATTAAATTTATAAAGGAAGAATTTCAGAATCCACAATAATATATTAAAATGGAAAGGATGATGTTTTCCTTAACCCCCCAAAAAACCAAATCCACCAGCTAGAATAGACCAATTCTAGAATTAGAAACATCACTTTACAAGTGCCAATAAAATAACTTGTCAATGATCATCAGTAGCTCTAAAACCAGTGAAGCTGTTCGGGCTGAAACAGGATATCCATCCTCATGTTAATTGCAAAAAGAATCCTACTATATTACTACTTCAAGATGATCAAACGGTCTGGAGACACATGTCAGTGGTAGAGTACTTGCCTAGCAACCTCAAGGACCTAGGTTAAATCCCCAGTCCTAGAAAGAAAGATATCAAAATAGTGGGAAAACCTGACATTATGTGCTTGATGGTGTGTTAAATACATAGTATCAACTAGGTAGTCTATTAAATGTCTAGTCAAAAAATATTTAATATTTGTCTAATCAGGTATTCCTCCCTTGGTATCCCTCATACACTTGAGCATTTTTACATCTCTAAAATAAATCTTTGTTTTACTTAACACAAAATCCAGAAAGTGGGTTATTTTGTGAGACAATTGCTCTATATGCTGCAAAAAAAATCAATGTCATAAAAAGTACACAAATAGGGGCTGGAGAGATGGCTCAGAGGTTAAGAGCACTGGCTGCTCTTCCAGAGGTCCTGAGTTCAATTCTCAGAAACCACATGGTGGCTCACAGCCATCTATAATGAGATCTGGTGCCCTCATCTGGTGTGAAGATATACATGGAAGCAGAATGTTGTATACATAATAAATAAATAAAATCTAAAAAAAAAGTACACAAATAGTGAGGACAGTTTTAGATTAAGATAGACTCAACAGACTCAAAATACACTTATGTTTAAAGTGGGATTGTACCCAAAACTAGGAAATGAGCCAACAAAGGACAATGAGATGACTTGGGTAATTTGAATAAAATGCCTGAGAAGTGCATATTACTAAATTAATGTGATTTCTTAGTTATGATAATAGTACCATGTCTTACAACCCAATTCTTAGGAGATGTGTGTATTTGTAGTGAACTGGCATGATACCTGCAATTTACTTCTTTCAAACATTTTAGGTATACAAAGAAAGATTAAGCAAATGTGGCAAAAGGTGAACAGGTGAGTTTAGAATACTTTATTGTGAACTTTCAAGTATTCAATACGTTTATAATTTTTGTTTGTTTTTGTGTAGTTCTGGCTGTCCTGGAACTCACTCTGTAGACCAGTCTGGCCTGGAACTTAGAGATCCACCTGCCTCTGCCTCCAAAGTGTTGGGATCAAAGGCGTACAATGCCACCACCACTTGGCTCAGTTTATAATTTTTAAAATGGGAAAACTTTTTAACATCTCCATTTTTATCTATTAAATTCTCTAAGGGTAAGAAGATTCAGTGTAAGTGTATTCTGCTTTATAGTCTTTCATTTTATCTGAACTACCCACATGACAGGTATAGTACTCCAACCTTGTGATCCTAGCTACATGGGAGGCTGAGACAGAAAGTCTAAGTGTGAGGCCAACCTGGGTAATTTAACAAAACCCTCAAAAATTTTTGCAAAGACATATGGCTCAGTGATAGAACACTTGCCTACTGTGCCTACCAGTGCTACACACAAAAAAAGTAAAACAAAACAGAAGAAAAACACTACTGTGGTAAGGGTACTTGTTTAAATACTAAGACTTAGCCAGGGAGCTGGAGAGATGGCTCAGTGGTTAAGAGCACTGGCTGCTCTTCCAGAGGGACCCAAGTTCAATTCCCAGCATCCACATAGCAGCTCACAACTGTCTATAACTCTGGTGCCAGGGGACCCGAGACCCTCACACAGACATGCATACAGGCAAAACACACAGACACAATGCTCATAAAATAAAAATAAACAACAACAACAAAAAACTTAGCCAGGCTTGATAGCACGCACCTTTATTCCAAGTACTCAGATGGCAGAGGCAGGTGGATCTCTGAATTTGAGGTCAGCCTGGTCTATAGAGTGATTCCCAGAACAACCAGGGCCATGCAGAGACTCTGTATTGATAAACCAACTCCCCCAAAACACTTAAGACTCAGAAAACAGCACGTACAAAGGCGAGTAGTAAGCCCTAACGATCACTGCAGTTTTCATTACTGGCAAAAATTACTAATGATAATCCAAAGTTCCTGTAACCCCTAGTTCCACTTCAGAGAACAATTACATCACATTTACCCCTGCCAACCATCATTATCAACCTTCAACAGATCTCTGGTACAGCAGTATCCCTTACCTCTCAATTAGCTGTTTTCCCAAAACGATCTTGGTTCCTTCAACCTTGATAAGTTCTTCATTATCATTATGAATGACTGTCTTTTCCAACTCCTCCTCCTGTTCCTCTGTCATGGCAACAGGATTAGAAGGTGGAGCATTTGTTTGATAATAAAGGGGGCAGAATTTGTTTGTTCTCATGTGCCCGATGGCACCACATGCTCCACATTTCAGCTGAAAAAAAACAACAAAACAAAACACATTAGAGATAAACAGGTTGAACCATGTCAAGAGTAGAAACTAATGTATATGGAGTAGGGGAGAAACAAGGACAGACACCATTTTATTGAAAACTGGTTTGGAAAGGTCAAGGTCACAGAGCTAATAAGTAGCAAAACCAGACCCGGTTATGCTGTATCCAAGTTCACAGTTCCTATATTCAGTTCCTATATTCCTATATACAGTTCGTACATTGCAATAGTTATCTTATGGTGTACATTATATAGTAGTGCATAGAATCTTTAAGCTAAGTGATACAAAATAACCTGGATGATATGTATTCTTGTCATTCTCTAATTTCATTTTTAAAGACTTTTTTGTGTATGTGCATCACTGTGTATAGGTATATATCCAAGTGTGTGTGCATAGGTAGGTACCTACGAAGGCCAGAAGGGAGGTGTTAGACCTCTTGAAGCTGGAGTTACAGGTGTTTTTGAACCATCCAATATAAGTGCTAAGATCTAAACCCCAGTCCTCTCATACAATACTCTTAACCACTGAGCCATCTCTCTGGCCCCTTCTTTTAAAGTTACCATTTTTAAAAAGGGTTATGAAGTTTGGGAAGTAGTAGGTCAGCAGTAGTATGCTTGCCAAATACATATCAGGTCCTGAGTCTGATGCTCAAGAGCAAATGTATATGACTATATGGGGCTGAGAACACTGTTAGGAAACACTGTTCTTCCAGAGGACCGGGATTCAATTCACACCATCCACAAGGCAGCTCACAACTGTCTGTAACTCCAGTTTCCCGGGATCTGACACCTTCACACCAATGCACATAAAATAAAAAATAAATTTAAAAAAGTCATATGAATATAAATATAAATAAGATGTACCAAACCTACTCAACTCCTAGAGGAAAGTGAGTGCAATTTTGTGTGTGTGTGTGTGTGTGTGTGTGTGTGTGTGTGTGTGTGTGTGTGTGTGTGTGTGTGTGTGTCTTTTCTTTCTGAGGGCTTGAATTCACTATGAAGATTTGTTCCTGATCTTCCTGCTTCACCTTCCCTAGTACTGGGACTACAGGTATTGTTACAGGTATGTTATAAATAATATAACCTAGCATTCCACAATATTGCTTTCATTTCCAGTAACCTAAGATGACAAAAGCTAAGTGAAAAGGTATGGTATCTCCCTTTGCTTTGTTAGCAGCAATCATATCATTAAGCAATTTTTCTTTTTCTTTTTGGGACAGGGTCTCTATGTGCTTTAAACTCACAAATCTGTCTCAGCCTATCTAGGATTACATTGTATCCCACAACACTTGGTTATTATAAACTTACTTTTAGGTCAGGGCGTTCCTTCATTTTTTTTGGCTTTTTCTCTGGAGGTCCCTTCAGTTTCTCCTTTTCCTGGTTTCGTTTAAGTCTCCTCAACTGCTCTTGAATCCTCCGCCGTTCTTTTCGCATCTCTTCTCGATGCTGCTCATCAAAAAGGGCAAATTTTCGACTGAACAACAGGAGAAAAAATACAACAGGTCCATAAGCAAACTAAATCAAGATGACTACCCTGAAAGCTACCACCTCGGAAATGATAATTCATCTAGGCTGAAGTGAAATAAACTACCTGCCATCGTCATCTTCGCATGCACAGAGTAACATCTCTCAGTCTAAGTCTTGAATAATCATTAAGATTTTGCTTTTGATTTTTGAGACAATGTTTTACAGCCCAGACTGGTCTAGAACCCATGATCCTCCTGCCGAATCCTCCCAAGTTCTAGGAGTAATTCCAAACATAACAAGCATAGTTATTTTCCCAGTGATTTGGCTCTGTTCAGGTTCTAAACAATATCAGATTTCCAGGGATAACAATATATATTCCTGTCACTACAACTCATGCATATACTTTGTCTCCATCATTATTTTCCCCAGCATTTTCAAAAGTGGCACATCAAACTCACATGAATTCCTCATCTTTTGTGGTACGTATGCGTACATATGCATCAATAACAGCTGGTTTTCGGACTGTCTCACAACGCACATACTCCTTCCCCTCTTCATCTCGAAATGTTCGATAAATCTTGAGACAGCAACAAGTAGCAGAAGAGTTAAGGCTAGTCACCGACGCTGTGTCATCATCTCTGTGATTATTTCCTGCTGCTGCTGAGCCTGCTGCTGCAAATTGAAAACAATTTCCAAACATTCTCTCTAAAACCCAAATGGCCACTTTCTTAAGGTTAAATGGAGACATTCAACATACCACAAAACTCTAGTTCTACTAAAAACAGAATTGGTACTAGTCACAAGAGCACCCTGATTGACCCTTTCCTGAGATTTTTTTCCCCCCAAGACAGGGTTTCTCTGTGGCTTTGGAAGCTGTGCTGGAACTAGCTCTTGTAGACCAGGCTGGTCTCGAACTTTCAGAAACCAGGCGTTGGTGGCACATGCCTTTAGTCCCAGCACTCAGGAGGCAGAGAAAGGCAGATCTCTGTGAGTTCAAGGCCAGCC